CATCGGCGGAATGGGAAAATTTGCGGATTAATTTTTTTGCTTTTGTATTTTTATATTTTTTATTTGTCATTCAATTGATGCGTACCTCGTTTCGATTCTCTAGACGACATGTTGCATCGCTCCGTCCGACGAAATTCGCTCAGCGAATTGGTTGTGTTCCTACTTTAAATCTATTCTCGACGAATTTCGTCAGACGAACTTCGATGTCGTTTTGGTTGTGTGCAATCTCATAGTTATACTGCAGAGCTCTGAAGAAGCGGAGGCTATGCGCCACAGGGCGGCCTTCATTTTTGCGGTTAGCTCGGACTAAAAAACCTATATTGGCTAGAGAATATAATGGCCCTATATGGCGACTGATGTCTAGTTGCCGGTCTAGTAGCCATGGCTACCATTATCGTACTTTGTATTATGTATAACGGCTGATATCAGTAGACATAAAAGCGCAGACAACATCCCAATTAGCTTTTTTGACATGTAAATTTCCAAGTAATTGCCCCTCAGTACGGGTGAGCAACTAAAGGACTGATGAATCGGTATCTACCAAGTAAACTCCGTCGATTACTGATCGAGTACTTGCCGGGTATTTCAGCGACTACTTTTACAGTGCAATGTCCTAGGCTCTATCTGCACTACCAGGAGTTACTATGGTAGTTACTTGCATGATTTATCGGCGTCCCCTTTCGTAATTTTTCGCAATTCTGACTGCGACTGGTTCAACTCTGTACTACTATACGCACTACCAGGGGTTAATAGAGCAGCTACTTCCCTAGGAGTCGGTACAGTAGCGGTAAATTGCTTGGAAGAGTTTCAAGGACCTTTATATGTATGTCCGAATCTGAGGTCTCTCCAGGGCTGGATCGCATTTAACGTGGAAGTATTGCAACTAGTTAGTTAGGAATTTTTCAGAAAGATCTACCGGTGGAAAGTGTAAAACTAATTCCAGCGCTTTGGTAGGACTCGAAGGAAGGATTTCCGTGAGAGTCATGGACGCCGTCCGCTACACCCGTTCCATTTTGGCTTTGGATAAAAGCTTGGCTAGCGCGGCAACCAGACGGTGCCACTGTGGAAGAGGATGAGTCATAACACAGCTGTGTCCATTCAGTATATGATGTGTGGTTTTATTTAGTCCCCATTGTTCACCCATCTGTAGACGTCTTGAGGGCGTATAGGGCGGCATTGACCCTTTTTTGCAAAGTTTCGATTCCACTCGAGTTTCCTGTGCTCGAACGAGTTTGCGTTCTTGCTTCGTATGTATTTCCTTATACATACTATCTAGTGTTCTAGTTGCCAGTCGGTTGCAACAAAATGAACCTACTACATATAAACAGAGGTTTCAGGGAAACGATTAGAGAGCGATTTACATTTAAATGTTCAATTTCTTAAAACCCAAACAACTTTTGATCTCCCCTCGCAAAATACATACGCACAAAAAGCTGAATCTTCGATTGCAACGCAGGCATTGGCCATGCGTTGACCGTCTGCCTATCGTTGCGCTTAAACTTTAAAGTGACTGCCTGACTGAATGGTTGCCCGTTTGCTACTTGGATGGCCGACGGTATATTTGAACTCTAAAATGCTTCGCATACATAAAATTGAGCATTAAAGTGTTTATGTAATTTAATCACGCTTCCATTTTTTAACTAATTACCACATACTTGACGTTTGGAAAAAAATACGAGTATAAAATGATCACAATTCCGCAAATACTTGTGGTGAAATAATTAAGAAAAAAAATAATTGCTGATGCAGGGGTGTTGAAATTTACGAGTTGGCTTTTAAAGTGATATTTTTTCCTCAACAAAAGCAAGTGCATATTAATGAATAAAGTCGCCATGGTGTCCCTTAAAAAAACAAAAACGGCTTTGTATATGAAACTGCTGGTATGGCACGAGAAAGAATATAGCCAGCGGAAAAAAAAAAATTTATTTGTATGAATGCGGCGAACGGATAAGCAAAAGTTGTTCTTAATTATTAAGTATACATCACTTTCGTGTGCCTTAGAGCGAGAACTATTAATGCATATGAATGCCTAATGTGTGCTTATATAAATAGCTAATGGATTAGAATTTATTGCAGCAAGAACGCCATAACCCCAAAAAAAATATTATATTTTAGGTGAATACGCAGAAATGGATATCAAGCCTTCCCTAATGTTGTGCAAAAAAACTTGTAACGAAGTCTGTCAATTGCGCCTCAAAGATATACATAGGTTTTTTTTCTTACGAAATTACTGATTTTTAATTCTTTCGGCAATAATTGTAAGCAAACAATCAATCACTCCTTGGTCAAAGTAAAAAACCAAGGTAAAGTTTGAGTTCAGCTTGATTCTATGTTTAGATTGAATCATTACAATAACATCCAGCTACTAGTTGTGGGTACCCACCAGGCCACAAGTGAACACAGCGAAACGTGGTTGCGGACGGCATGGTCCTGAACAGTATTTGCTTGCAATAGGCCCAAACACAATTAGGGTAGAGCTTAAGAAAGAAACAAAAAGAAGAAGGGAATAACAATGGCAAGGTGTATAGTGATTATTTTTAATATGTTAATGTGTGTGTTTTCTTTTTGTTTTTTTTTCAGACAATTTGTATCACAGGCATTGGCAAACTTAGCTACATGAAGCGATACTCAGTTGAACAACGCGTAAAACGTTTACGAAACGTTTTGTGAAAATAGTCGCTCTGCAAGAAGTGCATCTCGAGCATTGCGCGATTTTTTCGCTCAACATAACCGGTCATATGAGACAACAAGCAGCCGTTTAGTACAGATGTGTAAAGAAACTTGGTCGGTGAAAAATGTGGCAACGCCAGTGCGTCTTCGTAAAGGTCGTTCAATTATGTAAATTCAATGAAAACTTTTCACCGTTCAGCGGTTTTTATTAAAAGACCTACTGTGTCAACGAGTCAGTGTTTGGTGTAGTTTTTGGACTGACCGAGGCATCGGGCCGTACATCTTCGAAAATTCAGGACGAGTAGATAAGGATAGAGCCAAGAGCCTGTGCGAGCAAATCCAAATTTTGGCAGCAAATGTCAGTTACGCGGTTTTGCAGAAAGACGATACGCGGTTTTGTACTTTAAACGACGATATATGTATATATATCGGTCTTTCTTAGTTTAAAAATTCATCTCTTACATAAATGAAAAAATAATGAGATCAAATTAAGCATATACAACTTTTTCATGTTAAGTATGAATAAATTCTCCAAAGGGCTAAAAAAAGCGCTAGGGGCAATTTTAAATTTATGTGGCCAAAAAAAGTTTGTGGTAGCTAGATCTAGCCACCAAACGGCTAAAACGGCAACACTGATCCTGACATCGTTGCATCGATTTTTTTATTTTTGATACAACATCGATAGCTGTGGGGTAGAATTGATTTAAATCGAAGAAAGTTCATTCGCTACTTGTAAAAGTGATGGTGTCTAGATCGTGCGTTATGGGTAAAGCTATAATTATATTACCTTAAAACAGATAAAAAATAAAATATTGGTATTGGGAAAATTCTTTTTTTAATTGTTTTTATTTAGCTTGCCCTGTTTGGGTAAATTCTTCGTCTTGGATAAATTCTAGTAATTAAAAAAAATGTATGTATAAATATATAAATAAATTTAGGAATTTAAAGAATCTGAGTCTGCATAAAGGTCTGATTATGCTTACTTCGCATAACTTCGCACAACTATTTGTACCAGTACAATAGAAATGTAACTTAAGAAAATGTGAAGCAAAATCTAAACTCGCTAAGTTCTTAAAAGTTCTGGTAATTTATGGATAATGGAATACATACAAAATACATGCAAAATACATACAAAATTACAGTTTGAAATTTATGCAAAGTTGTGCGAAGTCATGCGAAGTATGCATAATTAGACCATAATGGCGTATAATCAATGTATTTTTACAGTTTGGGATGTTTTGATTGTCCCTAGAAAATTATATTGCCGCCAAAAGAGAACACCTCAGGTTCTTACGTGACATTCCCATGGGAAAGTGAACTATCGATGCGGCACCTCTTGGAATTATCGTGAATAGGAAGGATTCATGGAGAATTATTACTAAACCAAATACTAAAGTTTGAGCCAGTTTCCGGACGCATTGCAGGATTTTTTTAGCTTGAACCAATGTACATCTCTTTATATGTATGTATATGTACCTATATAAGTACACGTTAAATTAAATTTGTGTTTCGTTTTTTTTTTAGTTTTAATGAAAGTACTGAAATACTTTAAATATTCTTGTTTTATCAGCAATAATATTTTATAAAAAAAACTTATAAAAACTTATTGATTTAAAATCATAACTTTGATTCCACTACATTTAAGATATGCAATGAATAAAATGCATAAATAAGAATAACGGAATAAAGCATAATCAATGATTTTTACGAACAGCTGATGAGATGTGTAATTAATGGAAATAAGAAACTACAAGAAACCCATGATTTCCGTCATATCAATCGGCTTAGTGCCAAATTTTTGTCTTTTGATTAAGAGATCTCGAAAATAGGTTTTGTAAATCGCACCGATTTCAAATCGTATGATTTGCAGAACATGCCTAATAGATTTTACTGAAAATTCGATTTTAATCGATTATATTCGATCTTTATCAACAACTTTTGTAAAAACATAGATTTTTTGCAGCTCTATTCTGCCATATCTTTAAACCATAAATAGACATCTCTCTGGTAGGTAATACATTCGCTCAAATATCTTATTTAATATTCAAGTGGAGTTATATTTTAAAATAGTAATAGTAGAAGGAGTAGTAGTTTTTTAATAGTAAAATTTTCTAGTTTTTCGAGTCTTTGTTCCAATTCGAGCAAATAACTAGCATTCGTCTCACAACTCATCCAAAATTGCCATCAATGAGCTGAGATACGAGAGCAACCATATCAAGTTTGCTTGTAAATTGCGAAAATAATTCTCCACTGCTTTTTGCAATTCTTGCAGTACATACTAAAAAATTCTTATGTATAAAATTTTTAAAAAATATTTTCAATCAACTTACCGCGTAATTTTTCTTTTATTGTTGGGATGTATGCGATTTGCCGAGTCCGGATCGATTTTCTGTAAATGGTTATGCAACAATTCCGATGACATGGCATTCATCTCAGCAACAGGCAGAAATAAGGGCTAAAAGTAGCAAAGAAAGTAGTAAAAAAAAAATAATGATATAAAGCATGTTAACGGGCAGTGCTTTAGTGTAATTACCGCACCTTGAATACTACACCCCGCGTCATGATTATATATGTACCAAAATTTAACAAATTATTATTTTTCGTTATTTACTTTAAGTTATTTTTAACAAAAACCGCATAAACCCAAGTTTAAAATGAAATATTTAAAAAAAAATTACATTGGTAAATATTCCAAGCTTTTTAGTTACCGCCGGTTTCACCAGCAATTTATATGGTAAATGATTTCTTATTTCCTCTCAATTTGCATATATAATTCAAAAAATTAAAAGCATTTTTTACTTAAATTGCTTTCGTGAAATCGGCTGTTAGATTTCAATACACGCAGGTTTGAAACTAGGACTTAACGTTGATTTTTGGCATTTTTTTTGCTGATTTTGGTGCATTTTCTTCCGAAAAAAAACTTTTACGAAAGTTTATTGATTTTCTTTTAATATAAGCACAAAGGTGGAATCTAAGATTTATATGGGATTTGTTAAAATATTAACTATATTTTCTTAAAAAATTACCAAAATTAAATAACAAAAAAAAAAACAATTGCTATATTGTGGTGTGCTTATAATTATGACCCGGGGTGTATTGCTATGCAATCAATGGAAATCGAAGCGAGCACACAAAACATACTGAAAAACTTACATTTTTTGCATTTTCAGACACGTTGGCATCTTCCGATTCTGTAGTCGCTGCAGTCGAAGCGGAAGACTTATAGTCTATGCTGTCAAGCTCGCTGGCATCTTTCGGGCTAACCAATATGTCCCACAGCAGTGATTCGATGTAGTAATTTGTGCCGCCCACCACGATCGGGCATCTGGACTGCGCTAAAAGATTTTCGATCTAAACATGTTTTGGGGTTAAGGAAAATTTTTGATTTGGCAGGCCATTTTTCCATATAAGATATATTGTTTTTGATTTTTTTTCCCAATTGGTTTCATTTCGCGGTTACTTTACAGCAGTGGTAAGCTATAAAATAGCCTAACAATAAAACAGTTCGACATCGTATCTCGCCCAAAGCTTAATTCGCAAAATAGCCTTGCGGCTTATTGCCACTTTCGTAGTTAATTTAACGCTGCTTTTAATTTTTTACCCACTTCCTCTTTAACAATTAATTTTTTCAGAAACTACATGGCGAAAAACATCAACAATTTTTCGATCGGCTTTCAAACAAAATTGTCTATAAATATTTCTTGATTATTTTAACAAAAACCTAATTTTAAGCCTTTTATTGTTTGACCACCGCCAACAAAACAAATCAAAATTAACCGTAATTCTAAACGGAAATTTTAAAATTCGGAGCAAACAATTTGTTAATAAAAAAAGCAAGTACCACATAACCGAAGAAGAAGAATTGTCGCGGAGTGTCGGAATTGTAGCGGTATCCCTACCGTCGTGGTCTGTTATCAAGAAACAGTAGCATAGCAGCGGTTCAGCAAATTACCTAGGCGGAAGGATGTCAGGGCTTTCTATGGTATTCAATGGCCTTTTGGTGGGTGCCTCGGGCCTTGCCTTGTACTCCATACAGCCCGCCGAACATCCGTATGCCTTTTCCGCCTGCGCTTTTGGTCTCTGCCATGGTTTGTTGGGCATTATACACGCCTACAAGAAAGGCGACGAAGGTGATCGTTGCAATAAGATTCGTGAGATATCCACCAGTGTTATGGAGATCATACAGCTGCCGCTGATAAATATTGAATTGTACTTAGCATCGTCTGAAACTAGCGCGTTGGCATTGGGACACGCACTGTTTATTATACCGTTGGCCTTTGATTTGATTGCGAAACTGTTAACAGAGGAAGGCGATGATAGTAATACAAATACACTGAAGGATCTTACGATATTGGGCAACATTGTGTCGTTGACATTTTTAGCCGTCAATGAAAGCAACCACACTTATATATGTATGGCTATAACCGCCTTTCTGACCAAATATGGCGCCACACTGTTGGACAGTTATTGGGAGGGCACACTCGAGAACACTGTACTCACCGGTTATTCGCTGTTTACATTCCTGGCTAATTACGCTCTGACTGGCAAGCCAGAATGGATGAAAATGTGAGGTGGAGTAGGAGATTTAAGAAAATTTGTAGCCAAAGTATGCATGTTGGCATATCATGTCAAAATAAAAATTATTAAATATTATACTAAATACAGAAACTTAAAATTAAAATTGAAGTTAAGTGTTTTAATAGTAAGTAATTTGAAAGTGGTATGAATCTGTTTTAGAGAATTGATTTAATTTAAATTTCTTAATGCGATATGTCAAACCCCAGCTAGTATGGTATGAGAAATCTAGTCATATAGTATACGGAGGGTTAATACTACTTGAGCTTAGGAGGAAGGTCTACTTTGAATTCATTCGAGCATATTAAAGCGTGGCCAATGGAGTGCAGGCAGTTAGTTTCATCTTTTTAGTACTGTGAGAAAACGATTTTATAGTATCTAATGTTAATAAATTTTGCGTTGTATCATCCACTTGCCCTAATCGCTTTTTTTCCTACCCGGAAATTTTTTACTAATCTTAGAAAACTCGAACAACCAACACGAAAAGTTAATCAAACTGTAAATTTTTACAGCAAAAACTATGCAAATATGTTTACTTCTGCCTAAAAACCAATCGGCAAAATTAGAAGCTCCAATTAATCAACATTTTAAAGCATGGCGTTTTTAGTAAGACCTTACCTTAAGAAGCTGTAGTAGAAGACCTTCTAAGTAATTGCTCTTCCATGCGAGAATATGTTTTTTTCAAAGAAATTGGAGTATGCGTGTCGCGCTGTGTATGGAGAAAAGTTAAATTGGTTCTGCGTCTTCATTAAATATTTTGTGAAAACTTCCCCTTCTGAGAGAAGCCGAATTAGAAGTCCTGAAACTTACATACATTAAAAAAAACGTGTAAAAATTCGAGCACGGAAGGGCTTTAAGAGCTCAGAAAAGAGACCTCCTCTTAGAGCCGGGTGTGAAATTTTGATAAAACTATCCTAATTTGTATTTTATTGGATTGGAGCTTGTGTTATATATGATGAACTATATTTTTGTAACAAGGTAATTAAATTTAAATGATATCTACAAAAATAAACAGTCAAAACTTATGGGTGTCGTATAGTTATTATAAGTACTAGGGGTTGAAGCTAAATTTTCCAGATGTTCATGAAATATATGACGCCTTCCACACAGCCGAAGACACCACTGTCTTTACTTGTTTTTGCAATTACTGAAACTGGGCGATTGCTTATTGAAAGTACATACCTACTGTGTGTAGATGTGTTTTTATATTTACTTAAAAAATCATCGACGAACTTTGCGTTTGTTTAATGACATTGTTTTGTCGGTCAAGAGCAAGAATATTTTGCGAACTTTATGCTTACACACATAAACAAATAACTAAGTACTTATGTTCATATGTATGTATGTCCATTAGGGCAGAGCAACGGCATAAAATTAATCGAGCTTGCCAAATTGCGAAAATAGGTTTATTCAATTGTGTAAAAAATGTCATTTTACTTTTCCTTGAACATTTTTTCATACCTTTAGTGCCGTTTTCACATGTAGGTTTTAAAATTTATCTGCCCCTTAAACACAAATTTTGTTCTGAAAAAATGTGTTTAAGGAGTAGATAAATTTTAAAACCTACATGAGAAAACGGCACTTAGTTGTATAATTGTATCGCGATGTGCAATTGACAAAAACCGATAAATAGTTATGGCAAAGACATTGAAAAGTAGATCGAAAGTACCTCCTATGGAAATTAAGCAAGAATTGCGGATGTATAACTTGAGAAAATGGAATTAATTTACTAAAAATTTGAATGAAACTTGAATTTGCTATTGAATTTTAGTTGCATGAAAAAAATCAGGGAAAATTGAAACAATAATTTTTTTTTTTAAGTAGGAAAAAGTGGAAACTGTTTACTGTTGCGCACTCTGGCAGCGGTTTTAAGGAAAAGTTACGTCTAGAAATGGCTTCCTCAAGCAAAAAAAAATCTCATTCTGCTAAGGAAAAAACCTAATCTCGCAATTTGGCAAGCTCGAAATGGTTTTTAGACTTACGGTTTCCTCGGCAAATTCTGTTAGAATCTCACGTAAAATACTCCTATGCTATACTCGTATAGTAAAAAAAACTCCTACAAATATTGACCCGCCCTAATGGCCATACATAGTAACATATGAAATTATGTATGTACATATGAATGTACATATGTATGTATGTGCAAGTGAACATGCATTTCCTCTCGTGCGACTATTTATTTACGGTTCGTGTTAAAATATGAATTTTTTCTTGTTTTCATATCGCGTCCTATGGCTGATTAGTTGTTGTTGTTGTTAAATACTTAACTAAAGAAATGCAAACAAAAAGCATTAGCAACAACAATGGCCGCTGCAAAATAAAAACATTAATAAATGTTAAGACTGTGCTCGATATACAGCAAATACATAGGCGTCTACCGAATTTGTATAAGTCCATGTACATATGTGTGTATGTATGTATGTTTGCATATGCATGTTTGTATACATACAAATTTGTATTCGCATAAAGATATGAAGTGTACTCGTACTCGTATGATGCATACAACAAAAAACACCTTTTGTTGTTGGCTGCATGACTGGTCATACCGACCGACCGAGCGATCGACGTCTGTTCTCCACTTATGCTCCACGTCAATCGCATTGTGCACGTGTGTGTGTGTCTGCATGCGTTTGCTTGCGAATTCGCTGATGCGTCTGTGCGGCTGGCGGCTTATCTCGGCGCCCCCTCCACCCCTCGCGCCGGCCATGCGATTGAACTTTGAGTGCGCATGCAATGCGGTTTGTTTATTAAAAGCGAATTGCTTAAGTGGAGCCATGGCCAAAAAGCCGGCCGGTCCCGCGTCTGGCTACACTCAAGCAGACCCGGCGTCCAAAAGCCGCAGCGTATGGATGCATGTGCATATGTTTGAATGTATGTATGTATATATTGTCTTTGTCTTCTCGACTAGGGTTGCCACCATACTTGGTAAAAAATTAGGGTTGGAAAAGGGTAAATTTTTTCTCATTTTGGTAGAGTTTTTTTGAACTTTTCGTTCCCGCTTTATTTATCGTAGTTATCTTTATATTATAAATTTCTTTGCATACTTTTTATATACTTACATATGTAGGTACGTATAAATATATAGATATCGATATAAGGCGAACATATCGCGCTCCATTCAAAACACATTTTACTGGAATCCCGAGAAGCTTTTGATTGCCTAAATATTTTAAATGATTATTTAAATAAAAAGAAAAAAAAAGGCCGTTATATAATTACGCACTATGATTGATATGATCGCAAAAAAAATTAAATCAACGCCATTTTCATCAGTGGAAATTTTTAAATAAATAAAAAAAAAACACAAAAGACTGGCGGCAAATAATGAAAAAAAAAATCAACGGGAATTTTAATAAGTACATTGTTGGCTACACTCAAATATAAAAAAGTTCTTGGTAGATATTTTCCAGATTTGGTAGATTTTTTTCAAGTGGATGGCAAGTATTTTTTTTTTTCGTCAGTGGCAACCCTGCTCTCGACGTCTGCCGCGCATCGCCTAATGCAACACACGTACTTAGTAGCCGGCCGGCCGGCAAGCGGTGGCTATTGGTTTTTGTTTTGTTTACCTATTGACTCATTCATACAGGTTTTTGAACTTGCACAAGGTTTGCGCGCAGTCGCGTCTGCCTGCCTGGGCTTGACTGGCCGCCTGGCGTTTCACTGCAAGACGCTAAAAACCTTCTTTTTTCTGTTTTGTTTTATTTTCTTTTGCACTTCGAAGTTTTCATCTTTTTGTTTTGTTTATGCACTTTTTACCCGCCTGATTTTTTGTTTACATATGTATAAACATACATACAGTATTGGCCAATACAATAGCATCCCCATTTCAAAGTGATATTGTTTGCCACTCATGTTTATTTATTTATTTTTAAGAATTCTCAATTAAAATACAGTTCATTCTCTCACAAAACTCACATAAACTCAAGTTTAAAACTTTCTCAAAAGACCGCAAAAAAGTGCAACAAATTTTCACCCAAATTTCAAACTTTTTTCTCAGAAGCGGTAGAATTTTTTTGAATACACAGTTTTATAGCCCATTCAATTTTAGTCTAATAATGTGCAAGTTTCAAGTGGCTAAAAATTACCGTTGATTTTTTAGAATTTTTTTCGCCGAGGATGTTGCGGGTTTCTGCCATATAAAAATAAATTGTGTTTAGTCTTTATATGTAACAAATGAGACAAAAAAAAATTCTAAAAAATCAACGGTAATCTTTAGCGACTTGAAACTTCCACATTATTGGACAAAATTGAATGCGCTATAAAACTGTGTACTCAAAAAAATTCTAGAGCTTCTGAGAAAAAAGTTTGAAATTTAAGGGAAAGTTTGTTGCACTTTTTTGCGGTCTTTTAAAAAGTTTAAAACATTGGTTTATATGGGTTTTGTTAGAGAATGAACTGTATTTTAATTGAAAATTCTTAAAAACAAATAATTAAACATAAGTGGAAAACAATATCGCTTTGAAAGGGGGGTGCTATAGATATGTCCAATACTGTATGTATGTATGCAACCATGTACATATTCTTCGGTTATGTTTTTATCGCATTTTTTTCGATTTGCGTGCAATTCACGGCGTTCGCCACATTTTTTTAATTTTATTTACCCGTTGGTTTCAAAAAATTTCTGGTGATGGGGGGGCGTACCTGTTGCCCGTTTCATGTTGCTGACAATGACTTTGTGTTTCTACGAAACTTGGCATTTATTTCAACTTGAACCGCATTACTTAGCCATCTACCTAAATCTTAATTAGTTGATATGTTAACTCTCGATTGCATTTCATTAACGATCGCCGAAATCGTTTAGGAACCCATTCACTCGAAAGCGCTGAAAGTGACAACATTTTAAAAGCACATCATTTAGCTTTTTTTTTATAACAAGAATGCCTCGTATTTATGGCGTGATGGCTTTATGAGCTGTGAGCCGAGCGTAATGCCTTGGCAAAAAATATGCAATTAACGATCATTATCAGGCATCCTCTCGACAGACACTTACGTTTTCGAATACAAACTTACACCTTGAAT